ATTGACTTTCCAATGTTAAATTGAACCCGGTTAACCCTATAAATTTACTATTTTGGTGTGATAAGAGACAAAAGGTTGAAGAAGGAGCAAGAGTAATTATGTTTCTCTCTATTTTTTTTAACGTTTTATAGAGGAGGAGAATAATGTGGAATCAGAAAGCGTTACATGTGGGATTAGTGATGCTCTTATTATTACTTCAAAATTGGACACACGATGCAACTCATTAAAATTAACTACCATCTTATTATACAACACGACTTATTAATATGCTTTCCACTAGATTTCTCTTGTTGGGGTCGGCAAGCAAGCGTGTATCCACCATAGTTCAAAGTTGTTTTGGATCATGAATGTGGGAAAAACGTCTATAAATAATTATCATAGTTAACTATTGGCTATTGCTGAATAGTCTAATAGTAAAAGAGCAAAAAGAAGTTTCATAAACTCTTAAGTATTTAAGTTTAAGTTTTTTCAAGTATTAATGGGGGTGATCACTGAGACTCTTATCTGGTTAATAGTTTCAAGACTTTGGAAAATCGGTTGAAATATGCGCAAGTTAGTCGAGACACTTCTAATGATTAAAAAAAAAAAACAATGGTAATGATTATATACATTTTAATTAATTTCTCCATGAGGCGATATTGAATTGTTATAGTATTCCAACTATAGTTTTAGTGTTTTTCAAGTCAAATTGCAGATCCATATGAAAATAATGAAATAAAACAGGATATTTTGTATATATCATATATCTTTACTCATCATTTTAAGATGAAATGTTGGTGTATAGGTAAATTATATCCCTCGTGAGCCATTTTAAACTAACAGATGGAGAAAACAAGTGGTAACTTAATTTAAAATCAAACAGACATAAATTAAAAGCATCATATATAATGTTTCTGAAATATCGAAAGAGATAAAAGAAGTAGTAGCGTATAAATATGCAAGAAATGTCAAGTGGATGGGAATGGGAGTGGTTCCATTCCATCAACTGTAATGGGTTGACTTAGAAGAAATGCCGAATCCAACTATCTTGGGTCGACATGATTAAACATCTCTTGATCGATTCAAATATGTCAAAAACCATATTATTCTGTTTCAACTTAAAAAAAAAAGGGAACTCCTCCTCGCGCCATTTTACTATTTCATGGTGGGGAGAATTTAGGTGCCAAGTACTTAAACTTCAACATCACATCACACCTACACTACAAGATTATGATGATAAGAGATTCTGTTTTCTTCTCAATAAAGGGACATAAACGTGCAACAAGCTATCCAAATTCATCTCCCATCACTCCTAACATCATGCTTATTTAGACATTCCTTTAATTAATGTCTGAAAATTAGTCTTAATTAAAAACACCCATGAAAAATAATTATATGGAGATTGGAAATCTTTTAAATAAAGAAAAGAGAGTCTTTTTTTTTTTTTTTTTTTTACAGGAGCAATCCGTATAATCCCTTAAAACCTGCCCATCCATGATGGTAGGATGAAGATGAGCCTGAGGGTGGCATGGAAATGATAAGAGTAGAGGCAATGCACGTGTTTGATGATGGTACAAGAAATTGAAAGCTAATTACCCTACTCAAATCTTGCAATCTTGAGCCACTAAACTAACTTCCAAACATTGAGAGTTGACACTTTTGAATGGGTGAATTCTTTTGGATAAAAATAAGAGTAGAGTGATATAAAAGTCTTTAACAAAGTTTGTGGTATGCAGCATTTAATAGTTTTGTTGTGGATGGGCATGGATTCCTTCCTTTTCTTTTCTTTTGGTTTGTGTATTTTCTTTTTAAAAAAACAAAAGCAAATACATATGATCTCTTTGAGTGCGGCCTGGAGTGGTGGAGACGAAAGGGTATTGTTTTTATAGCTTTACAAGCGTGGATGTTTTTGTTGGAGAATCCACAACCAAATGGCTCCATGGTTTCATATCCCACGCCCCTCCACCATAACTCTTATTTATATTTCTTAAACCCTTTTATACTTTCTATTTTCCTTTTTATCTCCATATTATCTTATCATATCTTCACACGTGTTCCAATTCGCTGGATCAGCGTTATGCGCCCTTCTCTATGTTTTATTTGGAACCTTTTTTTTTTTTTTTTTTTTTTTTCTTAACGCAATAAATAATTCTTTTAGTGGCATAAAACATGGACTAATGTTTATTATTATTCCACAAGTTGACTTATTTCTTCCCTTTGCAGTTTAATAATGTGATTTAAAAAAACCTGCAGTCCTTTTTAATTAATTGTTTTGGTTTTATTTATATGCTAAACAGTGTTTTTTTATTTATACACATTTTCCCAAATCAAATTTATCATACATTCGTATCTTTAGCTTTATAATATTTGACGCATACGACATCCAAATTAACTACACTGCATCAATAAAAAGACAAGAGAAAAAAGAATCACGTATGTACATGACTAGATCCATAGAATATGGACGGTCCACTACAAAAATGAACGTGCAAGTGCAACTCTAATAGTGAATATCATGTGCTGGTGCGTTACACAGAATCATCCATTTTTTCTCCTTTGGTGTGGTGGGCTACTAAACCTCAAATTCGAATACATGTAAAATAAAAATAAATAAAGTAGTAGTCAAGCGGTCATGTCATTTGTCAAGGTTTATTGGATCATTTGACACCACAATTAAAGATAAAGGCATTAAAAGTTAAAACAAGTAATAAAATGAAGGGAGGTTTGGCCACACAACATTTTCCCACCCTTTCAAAATGGCGCTTTTCAACCTTTGATAAGTTCGGTTATATTTTATGTTAATATTTTATTAAAAAACGAAAATATTTTTTAATATTTAACTTTATAAAAATTTTATTATTTTTAATTAGCAAAAAATTCAAATATTGAAAAGTAAAAAAATAAAATAAAAAATTAACTCCACCTCAAAAGTTAGGATTAATATTATGAAATTGCTTAAAATTAAATGACATTAATATTTATTTATTTATAATGTCATCAATATCCCATCACTATTATTCAATAATTTTTATAATATAATGATTTTCATTTTTACTAATTAACATAGAAAATCAATATTTCTAATTAATTAAATAAATAAAGGAAAAAATATTTGTACACTTGAATTAATAAATAATTGAGTAAAGACTTTGACTTAACTAAATTTTAATTTTAATAAACTATTTAAGGATATTTTCATCGTTTCCGTTAAATATTAACAAAAAATACTATTAGAATCTGACGAATGGTGGGAAAGTGTCATTTTGAAACTTGATGGGTGGAAAAGTGTCGTTTCGCCAAATCTTGGGTGGGAAAAGTCGCTCTCCCTAAAATGAAATAATAAAGTAAAAACAATGGGTTAAGTAAAGTGAGGATATGTATGATGATTAAAATACAAATAATAATAAAAGAGGGTGTGTGGAGGAATCGTTTGCTTTACATCTCATATTTGTATATGAAGAGTAGTTTTTAGTGCTACCAAAAGTGTAGACCCAATGGGATTGGAAAGACTCAATTGGGCGTGGCTATTGTTCCCTCCACTCCAAACAAGAGGGCATGAAAGTATGCTTATTATTATCATTTCTTTATTACTCTTAAATTCATTTATAATTTTACCAATAGATCTTCTTACCTGTGCATAAGATCTCTTTCAGGTGATTAAATCATGGGTTTCCTTTTATATTATTCTTTCTTTAGAGTGGAGCCATACCCTCACTCTGCTTTTTTTTTTTTTATTTTTTTTTTTAAGGTTCTGTTTGGTCTGCTTGTTTTAAGACACTAATACTATACAAAAACCCTTTAGATTCTAATCTTACTCTTATGCTTAATTAATTATCGTCTACTCCAGTATTATTTTTTTATTCGGTACTACAAGTATGGAGAATAATAATACCATTACTTCCAAGTTTGACAATGCTTAATTAATTATAAAATGTGTAATATTTATGGTAACACATCCACAATGATTTAAGATTAATGAATGATAAATAAGTAAAGTAATTGAGATGAAAAATGGAAGTTTATTATGTATGGAAGAAATGGGGCATCCAGTTCATTGATGATTTAGGCACATCCATATATCACATCAATGAAAAGTATTATTGTACCTCTATGAAGTGTAGGGACCTGGTGGTTGCCTATATCTATTGCTTTTTTAATCATTTTTACTATTTAGGCCATAGATGGAGATAATAACAGGAACAGGATATATACTTTGTTTCAGGTGGGGAGTGTGAGAGCTTAAATGATGTATCCAATGGTGATCAGTGGGGCCACTTTCGTCTTTGTATAATTCTTTCTTCCTTTGAATGGTCAATCAACAAATTATTGGTATTCATGTATAACATTGGATGCCTTCTCCCCCCCCCCTTTTTTTTTTTTAATCTAATGATTTTTAATTTTATTTATTAAACTCTCATTCTTCCATCCCGAAACTACATCTTCAACCAATTATATATTTTGAGATGACATGTATAAAAATAACGACTCATTGTTGTTAATTTAAAGATGATTTAAATTTTAGATAATTGAATACACCCATCAAAAGATGAGACTGCTTTGGTATAATTTCTAAAGCAATGTGATGAATCATGATGACAATTGACACATCACAAAGAGATAAACTGAAGAAGAAGATTCTCCCGTGGAAAAATAACATTGCATAAGTGAACTCGGTAGCACTGGATACTATCTCAGTCCAGGACATTTTGCACCCAAACCTTAACCACAGACTCTGGTTTAGTTAGGACCAAAATCAACAGTTAACAATCAACATGACATTGACCCAACCCGACTCCAACTCCAACTCCAACTCCAGGTCATTATACAACCACCCCACACGGAGAGAGAAATGTTCCTGTGTTTCATCATTTTACACTTATACCTTGCGTGCACTCTTCACACGCGCACATATCAAACTCCTCACTTTTTTTTTTTTTTTTGGGTTCTGTTTGTTTGATCCCACCAGCACAAGCAGGGACATTTCTGTCAATTTGTTCTTTATATAATCTCAGCTTCCGTGCACTCCCCAAATTTCGACTTTGACTGCACTCTTTTTATCTCTCTGTAACCTTTTCGAGTTCTTTGTGTGTCTGTGTTTTCGATCTGGGTCTTGAGTTTGAGGATTGAGCAGTTTGAGGTTGTCTTGTTTCATTGCTGGAACTGGGTTCTTTTCTCCTTTAATATCTCTGTAAGTTTTAAAGTTATTTCTTGGTTATTTATCTGTTTAGTGGTTAGTATTGTTTGATCTTTTAGCTCTTTGAATTTGATATGGTTTTGTGACTCTTTTCTGGTTACTTCTCTTGGTCTACTTGTGGTTTCTGAGGCTCTGAAGATTTGTTTGCTGCTTGTTTTGTCTCAGCTAAAATATTTTTCATTTCAGTTACTGAAAAGCTTTATGTGTTCCTTGTTTTTGGCAACTGCAATTACTACCTATTTATCTTGAAATTCACAGAATTAACAACTCTATTTCATAAGCCATGGCTAGGCCCTTGATTATTCCTTTGATATCTACTAATTTATCTGATTAAATTTAGGTTCTTTATATGTTAACTTTGATTGGTTGGTGTAAAATCTATGTTTAACAGTGCGTAGTGTTAAGGTTGCATACATCCAATTTTTCGGTATGTGATCTGGTTCCGAATTACATTTTACATAATAATATGAGCTCTCCGTATCTGAAGCCGGAAAGCTATGATAGTCAAAGTTAAGCTGAATATTTTAATAGGTCCCCTAATACTATTGTGGAAAAACAGTCTTTAAGTTTGTTTTGTATTTTATTTTATTTTGTTGAGCTTAGCTTTTATATTTACAGAGCAATAATTGCATTACTCTAAATCACCCTATACATACAAGATTTTGTTTCTAATATAATAATACGTTGCAGGATTGTTGAATTGATTGCGGTGTGTGTAACAGCCGTGGCGATCGGATTGTGGTCAAGAGAACAGCATGCGGTGGTGGCTGACTCTTTCTGTTGATGTGTTTCGAAAAGTCATCTCTTTGAACCTCTATTGTAGAGTTATTCTGTAACTTCATCTTCAAATCCAGACCCTTGATTTTCTCAGTTTTGTTTCTTCTCTAGTTTCCATGGGATCCTCTTTTTTTGTCATCGTCCCCTGTTATGTACGCCAGATTAGCTGAATATTAGCAAAACCGCTTCCTAAAATTATTTTCGTTTAGCTCTTATTTCCTTCGCTTGTAGTGTTGTATTTGGTGCCGGGTTGTGTTTTATTGGTCTATTGATCTCTCTAGTTAGATATTTTCAGTATTCCTGTATCGGTGGATAATTTTGCTTACTTTTCTTTGGGAATCATCGTGGTTTGCCGATTACTGTTGTTGAAGTTTTTCCTGTGGAAGATTGTATTTATTGTATATTGAAGGGTTGGGAAGTAGTTATGGTGTGCCAAGCAGCTAGCCAAACAAGATTTCGGGCATTGAAATACGAACATGGGATTGCAGGGAGGGCCACTATAATAGTTAGAATCATAGCATGCTTTCAACCACTCAAGTTTTGCCAGGTTAGTAACAACATATTTGTTCTTCAAACAACTTATTATTAGGATGCTTTTTATTAATGTTGTTTTCTTGCGTGTTTTCCAGGCTGAATATTTCCGTCATTTGCTTAAACCTGTCACGTAGATTAGTTTTGCACTTTTCGTTTTCAAGTTAAGCTGGAATTTTTATTTTTTCGATTATTATTGAGAGACACAGCAAGTAACAGCAATTCCTAATACGGACATCCTTCTTTTGGTAAGTTCGCAATATCTGGTTTTGTTAAGATTTGATTTTATTATTGGAATTATTTTGAAGTTATTAATTTCATTGTGGTTTTTCTATCTTAAAAATTCAGGTGATTGTTTTGGTTGGATGGGAGAAGACTGTGGATCCTGGTTTCCTCAGCAGCAATTTGGTTGGCGATTGCCCGATTTGACTTATTCGAGTGCTCCAGTTGGTTTGGGGCTACAAAGTTCCATTCCTACAATCATGAACCATGGCTCTAATATGGTTTTGACAAATGGAACAATGCCTATTAACATGTATCCTGAGCTACCTCACTCGCAGGTTGTCCAAGCTAATGAACCTCATGGTTGGTTTTATTGTTTGCCCCACGTTCGACAGGCCTGTATGCCTGCTTCAAACCCTGTTTTGAAAGAGCAACTACCTGCTTGCCCTCATGAGAATAGTGGGGAGGCTATCAAACCGAAGGCAGGGTTTGGGTGTTCGCACAAGAGATTTCTTGTTTTTGATCAATCGGGGGACCGAACAACCATGATACTGAGTTCTGGGATTGGGACTCCTGTTCAGTGCCTGACTTCTTGGGGTCCAAGACAAGTTGATGCTTATAATGTGAGTGGGGATGATCCCAGAGGGAAAGGAGATGCAAATCTTCAAGCTGGACCAAATTCATTTGATGAATTGGATGAGACTAAGGGGACTGATATGCATAGTGAAATGCATGAGGACACTGAAGAACTCAATGCATTGCTGTACTCTGATGATGATAGTGATCAAAGTGATGATGATGAAGTCACTAGCACAGATCATTCTCCTAGTACAATGACAGCTCACGAGAAGCAAGATTGGTTTGAGGGAAGCACAGAAGAGGTTGCTAGCTCGGCTGGACCTACCAAAAAGCGGAAACTTTTTTGTGGAGATTATTATGATGTACCCTGGCCAATGGTCACTGGCAATTCTATGAAATTTAGCTCACACCTTGAGACCGAGGATGATGCGGAATCCAGTTCTGGCAAGAATCCATGGTCTGGTGAAGTGGGCTCTTTATCAGGCGACCATAGGATTAGAAAGGATAAAATACGAGAGACAGTCAGTGTTCTCCGAAGCATACTTCCTGATGGAACGGGCAAGGATGCAATGGTAGTTCTCGATGAAGCCATTGATTACTTGAAATCCTTGAAGCTCAAAGCCAAAGCTTTTGGACTGGACAATCTATGAATTGTTAAGTTTTGCTGTTAGGTTTAGTATAGTACTTGTCATTATCAATTCTCTTAGATTAGAAGTTGCTATTGGAGTGTCCAGAATAAGGTAATGGTACATATTAGATGAGCTTTGATTTGCCGAGGATGTGGAATTTTCAGCAAAGGAGGAATTTGGAAGTAATGGTAATTAAAGCTTGAATTTTACCTCTTGATGAAGTCGGAAATTAGATGGTAATATTTCTGTCTCTAGTCTCTGGAGAGCGGTTATATTACCTTGAACTTGAAATAAAGGGAAATGAATGATTAGACTGTGTCTTAGGGTTCAGAGAAAGTAACTCTCACACCTGGCTTGAGCGTGGGGGTTGGCTAGCTGTGTGAATGAGAAGACTAGTTATTGCAGCGGGACCCCAAGAAAGAGGACGAGTGCACGCCCCTTAAGTGTTTTGGGGCCCAACTTTCACTTTCTCCTGCCTTTTGTGTTTAATAGCCCTTGATGTAAATTCTTTGAAAGAGCCAAGGGCCGGCCGGCCAGCCTTCTCTATTTTTATCATGCAACTTGTGAAAAGGGACCCAAATCACCATTAAACACATGTTCAATTGGTCCAGCCATTGTTGTCGCGTGCCACTCTTAAAACTGTAACAAAACTCTTGTTTGGTATGATGGGCTAGGGCTAAATTTCCCTTTTTGTGCATGTTATTGTAATTTGATGGAGGAAAGACTTATATGTACGTTTGCTTGCTGTTATCATGTTTTTATTTTATTTATTATTAGTAGTTGTGCGTGATGATATATTTTGGTTGGACGTGAAGGTGATTTAATATTTCGTTGGTGTTATTGTTGTCTGTATGCCTATGTATTTACGTCGCATGCACGCATTTATGATATAAGATAGCGATGTGTTAGTATGATTCCATTGCCCTTTCCAGTGCTGCAAAATTACCTTCTCTAAGAAGATGGTGGTGTGGAGGGACCACTGGCTTGCATTATTTGACGCACACAATACATGTCCATGTGCATGAGGCTGAGGCACGGGTGTCTTCCTCGTTATTATTGGTACAGAGAACTGGGGATGGAAAAGAAATTTGTAGTGTCCAACTCCTTTTTGACTAATCACACAAAAATAATAATAACAATAATCAAATAGACTTAACTGGATGGTTTCTTCATTCTTATTTGTAATTGTACTACATACGTAGTCGGTGTTGAGGGTTGCGTGCTTCAACCCACTTGATCGTTGGGACGTGGCTTTCTTCTTTCAATCAATGCAAATAGCTTCATCCATGCATCTGAAACACGAACAATCTTTAAGAGGGTTTCAAAAAGGTTTTATTTTAATGAAATTTCATAGGAAGGTTTCATTTTACCATGTCCAAGTATCTATGGATCTAGCAGCACTTTACTTTGATCATGCCACTCTTTTGAACTTGAGCTAGATTCATCACATTATTTGGATGCAGATCTTTACCAGACTGTCAACAGAAAAAAAAAATATATATATATTAGAGCGCGAGCACTCATTCATTTGTTTCATCAGCATCAACTCTTTTATCATAAAAAGTTGTTGTGGGGGGAATATATTCCCTGTTACATCCGTTGGGCCGGACCATCTTCAAAATCCCAATTCACACCATGTTTTTCACGTTCTACTCTTAAAAGCGAATTGTTTTTTTAATCCTAATTTCTAAATTTATTGCGAAGAAGAAGACAGTACGCTTTCACATGAACAGATTCCATATTGTTTTAATCACATCTTCAGCTATAATTGCTCCTCCAAATAAACTCGCTTATTTGAGGATAAGTACCAAATTTTGTAGATTGATGTTATTCAAGTCTCATTTTTAATAAATAAATCTTTAAATTGAAACAACTGAAAAATATGATTCTTTTTTCTCTAGTTATTGAATTATACTTTTGTGGGGTTGATATTAGATGGTTCGTATGACAATACCATAAAAACTCCTAAACCTAACTCATATATACATATATAATAATAATAATATAATAATGGTGTTTTCCTTTAAAAAATGTTTCTACCTTCTAATTGATTATTTATAAAGTTTTGAAAATGACAATCTCCAGGCACTTCAAATTCTTGATCTATTTTAGTAATCTTATTTTATAATGTAATTTTAATTTTAAATATTTGATTATGTGGGATTCAAATAACAAATTAATCAGTGTAATGGATTGTCATTTTGGATCCAATGTATGGGCCGCTGGTTCTGTTCTCCTCTTTACTCAAAGGCAGTGTCCTTCTGAGCCCAGACACGTATAAAATTTGTTTAAATTTAAATAATAAAACTAATGACCACATAGAAATAAAGAATGAAATTAAGGATTAAATTGAAATAAAGTATAAGATCAAATTGAAATAAATCAAGCATAGTGATAATTTGATAAAACAATTCTTCATTCACGGTTAGATCCCGGCTAAATTTTGCATCTATCGCAAAAAAATAAAATCTATATATAGATAAAACATTTAGAGAGGATCATTTTGATACTAACATTTTTACCTAATTTTGCCAAATTTTTTTTCCAGCCAATGGAATTCGACGGCCAGGAAGTTGTTTAATTAATTAACTTAATTTAGTTTAAAATTATTTTAAATAAAATAAATTATAAGTTTACCTTTTATTTAAATTTAAATTTATTATGTTTAGGAATATTTTATACAATTAAATTTATGTGTTTATAATTTTTTTCTCTCAGATTTTAGATTTAAGTAATGAATTTTTATTTTTTCTAATGGTAAGTGACAATTTAAAATAAAAAAACAACCTATATGAATCTAATTAGATTCAAGATAAAAGTGCTCAAATCAAACACACCATGAGTGAATGTTTGTTGCATGAATCAATAATACCGAGGGAAAATGATAAGTTTTAGTTTGGTTAGAATTATGAATAATACTACACATACAACATTATGCGGTAAAAGATGATTGGGTGTAAGTTTAATTTTAATTTAAAATGAACTAATCATATTTTACCACATAATGTTGTGCGAGAAATATTGTATAAAAATATTGTATGTGTAGAATTACTCTAAAATTATTGATTTATCACTTTTAACTCTGGAATGAATAGTTTAATACTTTTGAGTCTTTGACAGATGTCTTTCTATTATTATTTTGTGGCCACAGGATAATGTAGTTTTTCTCCTACAAGACACTCTTACGGGTGGCAACCGAGTCGGGTCGCGAGCGAGCGGCTCAAGCTCGGCTTGACAAATGCTTGGAATTAGCTCGAATTTTGTTGAGCCGAGTCGAGCTCGAGTCAACTTGACTACAGGGTTGAGCCGAGTTTGAACAGAAGATTGCTTGGCTCGTGAGAGCTCCACGAGCTTGGGGTTCCATGTGATATTTTTGAAACTAAAGGGGGTTGTAAAATTTTACAGTAGTCAGAATTGACAAATCCTCTCATATGGGAAAATCATAAAAATCAGATTGGGGATTAAGTAAAAATCAAATTGAAACCTCTTTAAACATCACTTTTAATCAAAAAGCAAAATTGGGTTCCACACCAAAATTATTGTTAATTATAATTAAAAATCAATAATCACCACTAATCATTCCACGTGCCATGCAATTAGCAATACTTGATTATTTATTAGTATCACAAAGTAATGAATTACATTTAATACATGATTATTTATTAGTATCACAATTTTAAGTAAAAAAAAAAAAAAAAAACGATATTAAATTTAAACGTATTTATTGTATTTTATAAATAGTATTGCTAACACATGACTTGACTAAGTGGTTTATTCAATGCAAGAATATCAATCTCATATTTTCATTTCTCAAATTTCTACGCATTGAATTAATGTTGGTAATATCAACTTGGTATTATAAAGTTTGGTTTAGACCTATATAATCATAATTAATTTTCAATATAATTTAATAAGAAAATTAATTTTCTTCGAGCTTGAGCTCGATTAGCGTTTGACAGTTGCACTTATCTAGCATCGACCAAGCTCGAGGAATAAATTTAATTTGATGAGAAAATTAATTTTCTTCAAGCTCCAACTCGATTAGCGTTTGATAGTTGCACTTATTGAGCATCGACTGAGCTTGAGCTCAATTAGACGAGAGCTCGAGCTCGAGTACCCGTTTATAGTCTTGAGCTCAAGCTCGGTATTATAACTGTTGAGCCGAGCTGGAGTAGCCAGATATTTGGCCCGACTTGGCTCGATTGCACCCTAGGAAGCATATTTATGTATTACAAGTTTACAACCATATTACTATTCGGAAAAAAAAAAAAAAATCAAAATTCATCATATAACAATCACACAATAAAATATAGTATATAACTATATATTATAATTCGAAATGCATGTGAACGAGAAGAATATAATTATACGAATCGTGTATCGAAATTTTCATGCACCAACTAGCAAACTCACACATGGGCTTGAGAAAATGAGTGCAACTAGGATGCCATCACTATCGTCTATCAGTTTTGTGTCCGGTGCTCTCCTTTCTACTAGGAACCGTTGATGATCCTCAATGTGGAAGGCAAGCTAATGGTAAACCATGTCCAAACCAGCTATGTTGGTTTTGACCAAGGGTATTGTGGTGATACAGAACCATATTGTTGCATAGGTTGCCGTAAGCACAAGATCATTAAATCTGTGTCGCAATTTGAATTTGTTGATGAGATTAAGAAATACTTGACCTCTAGGAAAGTTGAGAAAAAGGCCATTCACATTAAACCTGTGTTGCAATTAGAAGCTTTATGAAGCTTATCATGAGACTCATAATTGAAGTCATATATGCTGTTACAGTTAATTGGTGCATCGAGATTGTATTGTTAAGAATTAGGATGAAATTCTATGATTCTATTTCTTAATGATATTTAATGTTTTAACTATATATATATATATATATATAGAGTAGATCATAAATTTAATAACTAGCGCCCCAAATATTATAAACTATATATCAAGAAAAATGACATAACAATTGTTTTACTTATAATAGAGATTATATTAATGAATAAAGAGCAACAAGTTAATATTGACACAAAGCTTATACATGTAAGATTTGATAAAAATATAAAAATAAAACCTATGGATTCTTCAACTTTGTTTTTACCATATACAACACATTTGAAAATCTGGTAAATGCTTGAAACTTGGGAAAGTGCACAATATTTTTTTATCTTTAAAGTTAAAAATACCCGATTCGCGAGAGGGGTGTGATTCACAAAATAGAAGATCTTCTTCCGGATCATAATCTTCATTGTGAACATGACTGTTCTCATCCAAAAAGAAAATGCAATTCTCTTCCAAGTTGTTGAGATTTCTGTCTAGAATGTATGAACTGTGTTGAGACAAATAATATTTGGTCATCCAAGCTATTTAACCTAGTTGTCTCGATGGATGCGATAGTAGGATAACCAATCTTCAACATATAAAATCCACAAGTTGAGTTATACATAAATAGACAACTACTATTAAGATTGTAGTCTATTTGAGTAATTGTATGTTCAAACATCTTTTGAACAAGCAAAATTTCACCTTTGGACTCCACCAAATATGACACAAGCCCTCCACTAACCTATGTCAATCCTAGTTTAAATTCATCAATTTCATTATATTGTTGGCTATCAGGACAAGGGATTGATAATATTTTTGAGAATGACATCCCCATACCCTCAATGGATGTGTTTCAAGAAAAGGTAATTCTGTGCAGATCAAAGCATGCAATATTCCATTAGAAAATAGGATGTCTCGTAAATAAGTATCATAATCCTAGATGGTCTAACTCTTGTCTTTTGGCCTGCAAATTGCCAACTT